CTTACTGTAGCCTGGTACACACGACTCTTGAGATCCAGTGAGATGCCTTTTTGACGCAAATTAGCAAACGCGATTCAAGCCTTTGAGATTCTTGCACTGATTGCATCAGACACACTTCCGTCAGTGCTAATACAACTACCGAGGTATGTGAAGTTTTCCACAATCTTCAGTGATTCTCCTTGAATTGTAAGGGATATGTTCGCAGACGGCACGTTCTGAAGCATGACTTTGCACTTTGAAGGTGCAAGGCACATGCCAAAAGATGGAGTGATGGTTGTCAGATTATTCAACAGAGCTTGTGCTTCGCTTTGGTCTTCAAAGATGTCATCTGCGTACTCCAAATCGACAAGGCTATCGCCAGCAACGATTTGAACACCGGGTGTTTTAAAACCGTCCAGTGTTCGCCTCATTATTTCATCGATGACGAAGTTGAACAAGAATGGGGAGAGTGGACATCCTTGTCTGATCACTTTTTGTGGGGAAGCTTTTGGAGAGCTCACCATACACCCTCACCCGCCCAGAAGTATGTGAATATAGGGAGCGGATTATGTTTACAGACTTCTGGGGCATACTGTGTTGAGAAAGTGTAGTTAACAGTGCTGATCGATCAACAGAATCGAACGCACCCTTGAAGTCAAGGAATACCAGGATCGTGGATTGTCTGTACATGTGACGTTGCTCTAACACCTGGCGGAGTGAAGATGTGGTCAACACAGCCTCTACCTGGTCGAAGCCCCGCTTGCTTCCCACGAGTCAAGGCTTTGCGTGCCACCGTAAGACGACGAAGAATCAGTGACGCCAGAAGCCTTGTCACAACAGGTGTCAGATCAACACCTCTGTGGTTACTACATCCATTGCGGGTACCCTTTTCGCAAATGGGCACTACTATCGATTCACCCCAGTTGTCTGAAACGGTCTCCTTCTCACAGACAGACCCAAATAGGCTAGATAGGCACTGGCTGAAAAATCCACCGCCACCCTTGAAATGAACAGGTGGAAGGTCGTCAGGACCAGCAGCACGATAACGCTTGAGTCAAGACATACATTCGGACACTTCTGAGACTGTAGGCGGCTCCATATTTACGGTCCACCTTTCTGTTGAAGGCCAGGTTTCTGGTTTGGAGGTATCAGATGGCCAGCTGAATTTTTGCTTGAAGTATTGTGCTCAGCGGTCCAAACGTTCTGCTTTGCTGCATATCAGAGTGCCCTTTTGGTTTTTAACTATCCCGCTGACAAGAGGTTTCCGAGGACTAGTCAAACGAATCAAGTGGAATAGTTTTCGCGCGTTTCCAGCATTCTTTGCATCTCCCATTTCTCCGGCCTTTCGAGTCCACCAAGCTTCTCGGTCTGCGCGGACACTCAGTTTCGCCTGGAGTCGGATGATGTGCCGGGTGGAGTTATAGCTGCGGACAAGCTGAATCTGTTGCCGAGTCTCCAGCAATGACACGGTCCTATCAGAGATCCAGTGCTTGGATGAGTTTGGCCGGGTTGTACCGCAAGCAGATATTTTTTCCCAGTGGCCGTTTATATCCGACACCGTACCGTCCGGCAGGCGTCCGAGGAGCTGGTTCTGATAGTTTCGTTTGACTGGTCCGTCCACTAGCTTCTCAATGGCTAAGCGAGGTGTGCGCAACTTGTGTACACCTGAAAAGCGCAATGATAAGCAGCAATGTACAAGTGCATGATCGGCGTTCACACTGGTGTTCCAGAAGGAGCGGCAGGTGGTGATCGACCCTCACCACCGATGTGGTCTGTTTGGATTCGGTGCTGGTTTGGTGCTGGGCACCACGTTGTCAAGCGATTTCCACTGTTCCGGAAATTCGTACTGCAAAGGAACAGTCTGCGACCGGCACACACCCAAAGTGAGCAGTCTCAGTTGTCCGTGTGTCTCGTGTCCAAGCCAAGACGACCACCCAATCGGGCCTCAGCAGTGCTTAGTCTACCTACATGGTTCTTCATATCACCAGCAACCACAACGATATCTGAGCTTTTAGTCTGCTGTAGACGGGCACCTAGAGGGTCATGGAAACTCCTTGGCATATTCAGAGCTACAGTCAGGTGCGATGAACCTCACTCCCTTTAGATTGTCAAAGATGTTGCCAAACGAATCGCACAGAGGCGACTATCAACTGGTATCCAATCAAGCGGAGACACTTCCGCTCGTTCGCTCAATACAATACCCACCCTAGCACATCCAGCTGCACCGGCCTCTGCATCACCAGAGGTGCGCAGCCGGAACCTGGAGGAGAGCGAGGGGGCAGTCAGTTCGATCACAGTACTTGCGTCCTGTGTCCTTGTTTCTGAAAGACAACATCAATACAGAGGGAATCCAGCGTACGCGCAAGAGCCACCTGTCGACCTGCTTGCTTCAGTGTGCGAACATTGAAAGTGGCTAAGTGGACGGACTTTCGTGGTTTGAAAACAGACTTCGAAGTGTTTAGGGTTGTAACTGAACTCGGACGTGCGGAAGATGAAGCTGAGTGTGATGCAGAGCGAGTGAAACGGTCAGTCCTAGAGCTGAGACCTGCGGAGAAACTATTCATTTTGGGCTCAGTGGGTGGCCGAGGTACACAAACCGCCACACCACAGTAGGGTCCAGTCTCTTGTGGGCGCGTACGAGTATACAGAAAGCTCTTGCCTGGGTTCACGTCCAATGGTGTAAGGCAAGCATGACCTCTTTCCAGTTTCCTCTTCAACTTCGTTATTGATATGCTGCTTGAATTTTCTCTGCCAGCCTCTGAAACCTGCTGAGTCGAAATGCTCCCGGGACGTTCCATCACAGGCATTGAGTATGCAGAAAATATCGCTGTTCTTGGTTCGGATCCTTCCCAAATGCAAATGATTTTAAATAACCTAAATAACTGTCGCACGGTTTAGCCTGCACTTCTGCAAAGTGTGAAGTGTTGCTGCAAGATTGGGTGGGATCAAACCCGCACCTCATGCTTGCAGGTGAGCCATTCGACGTGGTAGATAAATTCGTTTACCTGAGCAGCTTTGTTGGTTCTGGTGGACTGGCTGAAGATATTACTTCTTGAATCGGAAAGGCAAGGACAGCTTTTGCCAACCTCTGACACGTATGGCGCCGATGTGACGCCAGTTTGTCTGTCAAGGGAAGAGTTTACACTGCGGTTTTGCGATCCATACTGCTTTATGGATCAGAGTCGTGGCCGCTACATGCAGAGGACATACGGAATATGTCAGTGTTTGGTCATCAGTGTCTCCGAAGCAATGGTCGGATTTTGTGGGAACATCGGATTAGCAATGCTGATGTACGCCAGATGGTCTTAGGAAGAAGGAACTTTCCCGCGATAGATGAATTGCTCACGCTTCGTAGTTTACTCTGGTTGGGACATGTACCCCACATGCCAGAAGACCGGCTGTCTCTCAGAGCTTTTTTTACCAGCCCTGTGCTGTGTGGAAGCCACCAAGAGGTGGACATCATATAACCTGACAACGAAGTAGGAAACCACTAACCAGTAAACTTAGTCGGATAGGCAACGGCCGCCTCCCTGGATGAGGACTCTGGGACTCAAGTCAACAGTGGTTGATGACATTGGCAGAAATGGCCCAGTCGCGCAATCTATGATGCTCGTGCATAAAAGCTATCGCCTTCGATGCGTAGTTATCCGATTTCCGAACAAACTCAACGTGCCTTCGCCCCAAAGGCTTTCACTTTCCCGTTCTCCTGTAATCGAAACTGTAGCAGCTGGAACCAATGTGCCTATGGCACACTGTTCATAGCTGATGAATTGAACTGACTGAGGTCTGTGTTTGTCTTGGGTACTTGAAGGTGTATTATCCCTCTTGAATCTTACTTGTGTACGTCTAAAAAGTCAGTTTAAGAAGGTTTTAAGAAGGCAGATCGTCCGGGTAAACATTGTCTGCTGATTTTACGTAGAGTGCAGAGATTGGTCTTACGGCAGGCGACCGACTTGAATGTGGGGGGTTATTACCAACCGGGAACAGTGACCTATTTGAGCGTCCTGTCACAAGATCGTTGTGGCCTTACTGAATTTCAAGTGTCAGATGGGGATAAATCGCAGTTTACTGACGTTGTTCATCGGCCCTACCCGTAGTATTTTAATAGATTCCGGCTTTGTGGGTTGGCATAAAAGTTCTGAATAACCGTAACTGGAGCTAAAAATTTATACGTTAGTTGTCGTGACAGCAGCCGCACTGGCGCAAAGGCGTCAGCTGCGGCAGTGCATGCAGAATAGGTTTAGAATGGCTCAAGTGTTTAGCGCGCGAATTTACTGACCGGAAGGTCCATGATTCGAACCCGACCTCTAACTCTCGACTTCCTTTGCCTAGGCTTGATTAACCTGGCAGTATCCCAGCTTCCTTCGGGTAGCATGACAGATAGGCACCGAAATGGTGTTACAACTGAGCAGTTTTCTTATAGAATGCAGACAAGTGTTTGGGAACTGGCTTGGATAATAGGATAAAAGTTCACTGTCTTCCTGAAATCCTGGTTAGCAACTTAATCTCTGGTTCGACTGTTTAGTGAGAGATAAGTCCATCCATTTTATTGGTCTAATTATGATAGAATAAGTGTTAGTATCCCGCGATTTACTCCTCGGCGCTTCGGCTGCCTCGGGAGTCCTACTCCGAAAGTTCGAACAATAAACCTCAATATATTAAGGGTATTTCCCGCATGATAATTCGGTCAAAGTAGGTGTTCGACGTGACACCTAATCCTTTCGGTCTCTTCCGCCAGAACTCGATGCGAATATTCTCAAGTGTATCAGCAACAGGATAACTCGGATTACTCACTGCGGTTCTCAGATCCACATCCTTAATTGGTTTGATCTCAAATTTGCACAATTGCTTTGGGGACGGAGTACAATATTAACACGTGCACTCCCAATACGTTACTGCAAACATTAAATCTAATCAGTTAGTATTAGAATATATCTATGACGCTTGTCTCTGGAAAGAGTATGCCACGCTGTTATACGTGCTGTACTCAGTAGAGATGAAATATGAGCTTCTTAGTTAGAAGATAATAATAACCTGTTGATGGTCTGCTCCGACGTAGTGCTCAGATGTCCAATTTCGCTGTTCAAAAGCGCAGGCGCTCTGTTTTTCCATGAACATTCTTCCAGATTTGACGTTTCGTTCGCTGTGTGCTGACGATGGATTGTCTCAGAACACTCAACCATTAGTTTACCAATTGAGAAAGTTGCGTTAGTCAAAGGGATCTGGCAGCATATCAGGCTGAGGCGCACTCGGATTTTCGATACCAAAAACAACTATTATTAAAGTGGAAGTAGCTTTCCTGCTGTCTACAAGAGGTTCCCTGCCAAATAAGGCTGCAATTTTTCGTTAGGTGCCTATGAGCAAACGGTCCCCTGACGAGACTTGTATGTTGCCGTAAGAAGGATCTGGTTCTGGGCACCGCCATATCCGGAATATGTTTTTAAATTACCGTTCATCACCTTTGTTGAAGACTTGTTTATCCCATGCTTTTGCTTCTTTTCTTCTTTGACAGTCAAGCTCAATGGGAATCGTGAAGTGATTGGCACTCTTCGTGGTTTCGATGCGTTCATGAACATCGTGATCAATGACGCCATGGAAATCACCAAGGACGGACAGCAGTTACGGATCGATATGGCAGTTATTCGCGGCAACAGTATAAATATCGTAGAGGCGATTGATCGTGTGTAACCGTGTGTTTTGGTCAATCTTTGTACAGTCCTGACCTGTTGGAAATTTTGTCATAAACTTTTTATCGAGTAAAATTACTTTTGGCTCCGTATAATAGGCATTCTCCGGTTTACGCAACTTAGCTTGCCCCGTCATTCCTGACCGTCAAAGGTTTCGATTCACCATTCACCTAAGCACTTCACGAGGCCATCATGAGTGAGCGCTAATTAATGGATCACGCCTGTGCGTAACTTATTCTACGACTGTTATATGTCTCACTTCTGAATCACGTAATGGAATTCAAGGTATGCTCCCCAGCTTTGCAAGTCTGTCCTAAAAGGCGTATGATTACATTTGGAAGCGAACCTCACTAATGTTTTGTTTGACAGTATTTACATACCCGTCGATTATTTGACCATCGAAACCTGTTTCGTGTAAGCGGTTTTGAGCGTCAAGTCGTAATCTACCTGTCTGTGCACTTGCGTCAGCTGTTGGGTCAAAATTCAGCTCATTATAGAAAACCCTTATCCGTTCACTTTTATGGTCTGCAGCGAACGTCTCCGCAGCTGCTTCGAACTATCGTTACACCGGACCGTAGTAGCCAATCGTCTTGTTCCTCTCTGGATGCCCTCTTCTAGAGCCCGTGATATCTGATACTTTGAGTGTTGGTTCTGCGCTGTCCGTTTATACTCTGACAAACTGGGCAGTAGGCATAAACACTATCTTCTGGAATTGGTTTATCTAGTCACGGACACTGATACCAGTGTTTCGGGTAATGTGAACGCAAGTCAAGTACGTCCGATAACCTAGAATGCTTCCACTGTCAATCTTATTCTTGTGAAGATCATGTATTTACTTCGAAGTCTACTGGCGCAACCTTTGATTACAGTGCTTTTGGAATCCCATGGTAGTTCTTAGCGAGCCAGCCGCTTGGCATATTAACTAACCCTATCGCTTGTTTTCATGCATAGTTTAAGGACAACGATCGTCTCCTACGCCTCATGATGTCGTTCGCCCCCGATCGCTTCGTTGCCTACATTAGCAGAGGATTTTGCATGTTCTTTTGGATTTGAAATACTTTTACGGTGTTCGCGGCGAACTTCGAAAGATGTCCAGCGACCTCATTCTAATCCACTCCGTGAAATTGGCTTCATTTTTGTTACCCTTAGGGATCTGAACTATTCGTTCACTGCAAAAAATGCTTATGTTGGTTTGCTGTTGGCCCGAGTAGGACTCAAACAATCTAAAATGTATGGGAAATCGCTGCACTTGTCAGAAATGTAGCTGCCTCAGCCGTGTATGAGGTCTTTTTCAGTCTATTTTCTGGCAACCCAGCTGCTGCCTTTTCTCCATAATGAGAACTAAGTCGACCAATCCTTGGGACTAACTGACCTGACAGCCTGATACATGAACTCAAATTGCCAGCGGAGTTGGGGACGGTAGTTTGATTGGCCACTTAACTTAGAAGCTCTTCAGCGGTAAGGTATTTATTTTTTGGCTACATATACGTCATTTGGTAGGGTGTAACCGTTTTGGAGAGAAACTAGGTCCTGGGAAGATAAGCGGTAAACAGCGTTTTGTATTGTGCTTCAGACGGAATCATTATCAAATACACTGGCTGTTCGAGCTGAGCTTGAGGATTAACTGAATTCCTATGGATAAAACAGCAGAAGACAGATCACGGGGTATTGACATTTCATCTTTATCTTCTCAGCCTTTATTAAAAAGTCAAGCTTTGACACAATAGCAGTGAAATTACTGGTGCAGTTAATGTGGGCTGATCAGTTCGATTTCTCTGCTCCCATTCCACTGGGTCTAAGGCAGGCCGGTCGGGTCTCAGTGCTGCGATTATCCTGCGGGTACCATTGGCTGAAGTTTTTTCCCTAAGGTTCAACCGTACCGAGTAGACCAATGAGAGATAGCTACTGTCCGCACTGCGTGGTATCATTTTGCAGGACATTCTAGAAGCAAAATCGTACTGTTCTTTGCCACAGGGTTCTTCCGGACAACGTATCAGGTATGGAAACAACTGTAATCCGTTCGCGCGAAAACAAGCGGACCTGCACACTCGCCTTCTGCAGTCAAGCAGGTCAGAATTAACCCAGTAGTCCGGGCTGAATGCCATAAGAAAATCCTAAAAAGCGCTGTTTCTCATTTAGAACCTAGGGGCTGGACGAGGGTCCCTGTACAAAAACATCCACCACCTTGTGGGTAGGATTTCGATTCAAAGACACGGGCAACCCAACCCCATCTACTTGTGCAAAAACCAGTACTCGTTCGTTACTCTTCCCTCACACCGCTTCATTCAAATCTGACTGATTCGTTTATCTGTCAATCACTTAACCGTTGCTCTGTATTTAAACCTTTTCTCGGTAAGGTAAACTCCTATTAAGTTTTAGGGGTCTATTCTGCATTGCGACTTCGAACATCAGCACTGTGTCAAATTAGCCAACCAGCATCTCTTACTCAGTTCCTGTTTCCTCTTTCGGTCGTTGAATATCGTACCCGCTACGCATGCAATACCCCAGTTCAGTCCATCACCTCAGACCGCTCGGGGCGAACCCAGAATTCTAACAGTTTGCTCTTCGGTTATCTGGTGATCCTGATTAGGTGGCTCGCGAGATCTTGAGCGTAAGAGTTGTGCTTATTCGTAGGGATGAATACGCTTTGTTGCACTGGATTCCAGTAACCCCTTCGTCTTGACACTGTTCGGCTAACTGGTTCAGTGGCGATAAATGCGTTCCAATGCGTTCAACGGTTCCATTTGTCGTACCAACATATACTTTCACAAAGCGCAGCTCTAAGGTGGAGAAAAATTGCTCAAACTGATAATTATCACGCTACTTCAGTCGGCAAGGAGCACAGATACTGTGGTTCTAGCAGTTGATTGACCAGGTCCGTAAGTAGCCAGTCTTGGCGGACGTCTTGATGTTCACCGCCCAATGGGAAGTGAATTCTCCAGTTATGTTCCGAACGTTATTCGTTTCTAGCCGATGCGAACTTTCTGCACAAGCGGTCACACCTGGGTATTGCGAACTATAAACCATCTCCGGACCCAATTGAATTCTGTCAGATGCTGGTGAAGAGTTTCGATTCAAGGTTTTGGTTGGTTTTAGAGGACACTACTTAACCTTGATCATTACATTGATGTACTCACCTTCCCTCTGGGACACCACGGTCGCAAGATCGTTCACTTTGTTGCCTGCAATGTGTCTCTGTAGACTGACAATATCGGGTTGAGTCGTCTAAAAGAACTCAGAATTCAATCTACTGGTAATAGTGATGATCTGGACGGCGATCGTAAAAAACTGGAGGAACCATGCTCGCAGCTTTTTAAACAGTCCACGAATAGTCTCTTGCACACACCAGTGGACACTGGATCTCATCATAATCAGCATCTCTCACTGATGTCGAAAAAGCCAGGTTAGAAAGAAACGAATGTGATGGCTCGCGTTGACCCCTCGAATGTCGAATAATGAGAAGCCTACGCATTGACATACCGCTAGCGGATAGCCGAACCCCGAGAATTGGAGAAAGCTTTTGTAACGAGAAACAACCGATTCCTGTTTCAGCCAGTCCGATAAATTGATCGGAAAGGGACGAATGTTAGAGAAACGATCTCCGAAAAGAATGGGACTTCAGTTCACTCACAGAGGCGTCATTTTGACGCTTCGAATGACATTCGGACTGGCCTTCATCATGCTAACATCTAGAAGAACTACATGAACCTGAATGGAACGCCGACACCATTTCTTCATCAAAAACGGGAGTCACCGGAGAATCCAACCGCCTCAGTACAGATAAGCCCCCTGTTCAGATAGTTTGTATCTTGTACACTTCAGAGGTCCTTTGTGACCATTCTGATGATAACACCCCATGAATGAGGATAACACTAATGGAATGGAGCGCTTTGACGGTGATTCCACCATACAGAATGACACAAAAGCATCGCGAGGAAACCACCAAGGTATCACCCTAGTAGTCATAGCTACCTACTTAGGTTTTTCCATCATCGTGACAGTCTGACTCATCAGAGTCAAGCTGAGTTTCCCTCCGGCCAAGGCTTCATCGAGTGTATCTTCATTCTGCCATAAATGTTGGAACCGCTCCACTCCTTCCGACGACCAACAATAGTCTTTTTTAACCTTCTGATCGCGTGGATTTTTGTAAATATGGCCGTTGTTGTCGATAAAAGGTGTTCCTTCTTAATTTTCGTGTCTTATAATGGCTCTGTGGATCTCTTCCCGCCGGTAGTTGTCTACTACAAACTCCTGATTTCACTACATCGTTTGTCGTCAGATATGGGTGCCATGTCACCCCTCCATTTCAACTTCGTATTCATGCCATACTTGTGTATCTTTACTTGTGTCTAACATTTTTGGGGTAGTAATAGCCCTGGGGCGTTCGCTTACAGACAGCCCTGACGATATCGCCCGTCTCGCGTGGTACGTTTTGTAAACCCAAACTGCTTTAAATAACCATGTTGCACAGTTTGGCGTACGCTTCACACCTGAAAAATGTGAACCAAACTGCAATACTCGATAAGCGAGACCAATACGCCATGTTTTTTATGTAGTAGATTAGTCCGTCTACTCGGGCAGCTGCATATGACTCGCGAAGGATCAACTCATTTCCTGAATCAGGAAGGCTAGGGCAGCGTTTTGATGGACTCCGATATTCGTTGTGCCTACTTGACATCAGTTTGACTGTCAAGAGTAAAGGATTTGGTGTTTTGGTTCGATTTGTCCTGCTTTGTGGGCAAGAAACCTCCACTGATTACGTATCCTCGAAGGCCTAATATTTGAACACCGATGCCTCCGAACAGTTACGTGGATCTGTTGCGGGCATCAGATCAGTAATGCTTGGTCCGGTCATGCTCCATATGTTACGCTAGCTGGGCCGTACACTTTGTATGCCTCGCAGGACCCTGTTCGCCAAACGTGTCAGATGGTAATAACTTAGGAACGGTCGGTCCATGAATTGGCAGCGAAGCAGCAGTCAACTCAGTCGCTTCGGGAACTGCCGTCTCCCCGGGTGGGAACTCAGGGACGAGAGAACTGAATGGTTGGTGACCGTGACAGGTACGGCTGTAACAGCCGGTGGCTG